GGGAGGATTGCTTTCTTATTGACTTTGAGATGAGTATGGATATGTGTATATCCTTTTAGGTTTAATATGAGAGTTTCTGTAGTATCTCATTATCTTCCAGAATATACCTTTTTGTTTTTTGAGGCCTTTTACCAATTTCTCTTATCATTCTTTTGTTGGCTCTCCAACAAATGCTATAAGATCTGTAATTATGGTTTTTAATGAAATAAATTCTTATTAAATGCATAGAACCTACAGAATTGTGAAGTTACATGCCCCCTTAAAACAATTAATAGATATCTATGTGTAATTTATTGAAATTCTTAGGGTGCTACAAAATTTGTTGGAGACTGCAAAATAAGACGAAATATATGCACAACAAGTTCAACCTTCTTAAGATTTGAAGTGAGATTAGACGGGATTGTGACAGAGGCGGATCCACCTCACAGATTATGGTGCACTTGCACCCATCCTGTTTGGAGCTATAAGCTAGACTTTCAATATAATTTCCTGAAAAATTTGTTGTATAGTGTAGGGTGAACCCATGGTCAAAAGTGGGCGTTGGGTCCCAAGGTTTCAGACCCTATGTTCAGACATTCGATTTTTGTTTTGAGTTCGTCTTTCTTTCTCTTTCTCTTACCCTTTCTTTTCATTTCTCTTTTCTCTTTGACTTCAACCAATTTGATAAATTCTCTTCATGGTAAATTATAAATTAAGAATTCCGATATTAGCTATTGATTATTTCTAGTTGAGATTTGTTTTATCTTAAAGTACTCTAACTTTGTTTTACAACAAATTATTTATGTGACTAAAAGATTAGTTACGCAGTACATGATAAAACGTGCTTCATATCTTTTTATTCCAATCAAATTTTTGAAGTTTTAAATAAGTAAAATACTTTTTTTGGTAAGCAACTCACATAGAAAGAATTAACCATATGCTCTTAAGGCTTTTTGATATCTTTGTGTTTCTTTTTAATTTGAATTAAAACATGCAAAAGTTTAAATTTTTAATTTACGGCATTACTTTGTCATTAATATTCTACGTACCTTAAGTTTCTCTTTGCTTTGACACAGTAAGAACCAAATCAATTTAAGACCATATTATTCAATAATTGTATATAATATTAATGATACAAATAAAAATTATGATTTATCAAGTAGTTTATTATTTAGATGATGTGCAAAATTGATTAGCTGTAAAACACAATGACAAGTATTAACTTTAGTTAAAGTTAATGGTGCACCCATGATATTAAAATCCTAGATCCGCCTTTGGATTGTGATACCTAATGCAGGGAAATTTTTTAGAACAAAATGTTTTCTTTTCTTGATCAATAACTTCCGGTTTCTTGTCCAAACATATTTTGGTTTGTTTTACTTGTAACAAGGACATGTTTTGTTTTCAAAAACATAAAGAAAACAATCAAAATACAAAATAAATACGCTCACTGCTCACAGTTATCAGAAAACTATTCTACCAAATCTAAACACTCACAGAAAATAGAACAAATCAACCCCCCC